TAAAAAAGCACAAAGTGTGACTGTTTCTAGAATAAAAGTCTGGCCCAAGAATAGTGGGGCTTCAGAGATGATTTCAAAGAAGAAGGGGCCTTTGAGCTGAGCTTTGGAAAGATGAGGCACTTGCCAGCTCAGTAAGTTGAAGAAGAAACTTTCCAGAAAGGGCGGTGACATGACAAAAGACAGAGAGGCCTGGGACAGACACGGTTTCGTGAAAGTGCCATTTTGAAATCAAACGAGGCTGGATTTTTCTACTGAATTCCTCCTGGCTTTTGCTGTAATTATGACTAACTTCTATGTTTTGTGGATAGCAGTATAGACAAATACAAAAAAGACCTCTTTTTACTAATGTTCAGGTGTTATTTTTTACTCTTAGAACCATTCCATGTCCACTCAGGGACAAAATGGCTAAAAAAATAGTCAGTGGTTAGAAAGAAGAGCCCAGGCCCGTGTGTTTCACAGCTCCAGAGGGCACCATTCACACTGCATTCTGGAGTTACAGATTGTGCCAACCTTACTTGAAAGCCTCATATATTTTCTGAGATACACACACATACACATGAATTTACACTAACCTCAGTTTCTAATAAGTAGCTCAGACCTTTGCTGCACCATCTCAAGAATTATAGAATAATTATTTTTTCCGAAGCCCAAGTATATTGAGCACCAGCTAAAATGCAGTTAGTTACAATGCACATTGTCTAATTATGCAAGATGCCATCTCAAACCTTGCAAATCTCTACAAGCTGAAGACCTGCCTTCCGTAAAGCCCAGTGAAGCTCTTTATGTCAGTATGGGTATGGGGGAGCTGGTGATTATCCTCCTAACGCATTGGTGCTCATCAGTTAAGTAGGATTTTCAAAACAAGGATCTTGAAGAAATGATCTGAGTGAAATTGAGATACTGAAATGAGGAGACCCCAGACTTTCCCTCTGGAATCAGTGCCCGTATTCTCCTTTCTCCACTCGTCTCAAGTTTTGCCCTTATATTTCCTCTAGTTCTTTAGTCCTTACAAAGCAATTTTATTACATCTATTATTAGCTCATTTGATTTCTGCAACAAAATTATGAGATATACCTTGTATTAATACCCCGTTTTACAGATGAGGAAGCTGAAGTTCCAAAGAGCTAACACCTCACTAATATGATGGCACTGCAAGGCCAAGTCAGGATAGTTTAATTCTGAAACTTACACATTTTCACTCTTCCCTATAGTTTGTAATCCAAGCCTCTTCATGTTTTATCTAGTACATTTCAACCATTTCATACGACCTATCAAGTTAATACAAGCAGCAATATTTATATAGCATTAACTATGTAATAAGCCTGATTTTAAGGGCACTGGGTATAGTAACAGATCTTCTGAAGATCCTTTGAAGACACTGAATCACTGATTCACCATGTGACCTTGAAGAAATCCCTGACCGTTTTTGAACCTCAGTTCTCTCCTATGTAAAATGACTAGCTTGGATTAGAACAGAGATATAAGAAACAGATTTTAATCAAGATTGCCCTTTGACCAGCTGGTAGTAGCTGCCTGAAGAATTGTATTGAAAAGTATTGAGGCCAAGTGAGGCTCAGCAGTAATTCGGGCAATGATCGATTTGTGATGCATGTCGAGCGTTCGGAAAGGGGAGTGACATCATCATGTGCTACAGACTTTCCGTCTGTAAACCACATGAACTCCAAACCCTTTCTTAGCACTAACATTCTGTGGCTCTAGGAACCCAGTTAATTCTTCATAATTTATCCAGTGCAGACACTAAACACTAAATTTAGAACATTTAATATCCTGCCACTGGTCTTCACTTCCCTCCTCTCTCTTTTCTAGTTTTGAAAAAGTTCTAAAAAAGAACAACTTGTTTTTCCTTATCATGAGGGCATATTTGGGTCTTACTCCAAATCCCTCTTACTGTGACTTGCTTCCAGTTTAAAGATGGTGTTCGTGGAGATGGTTACAACGGTGTCTGCCAAGTCTCTGCCAGCCACAGGCGTCCACCCCCAGTACTGTGCCGCTCTCCCCTTTCCAGCCATGCAGTTGCCAAAACAAGACCAAGTAATTGTTCGTACCCTTGTGTTGGCTGTTATTTCTGAGTGCCGACACCTCCTGAGCAAAAGATAGAAAAACTACTAAGGATGACTATTCTATGGAGATGACACAGCAGCATTTAAAAAAAAAAAGAGTTGGCGTTTGCAGATGGAGCACTTTATGCCCTGTCAGTGACTCTGACCCAGGTTCAGCTCCTTTCTCTGCCACCCACCATTTGTTCATTTATAAGTTCTGCCCCTATATCCCAGCCTCCACAGAGAATTCTACATCTCTGGCCTTTTTGAGACAGTGCCATATACTGAACAAGGAGTCAAAAAAGGTGTAGTTTTGAATGTTGACTCTACTACTTACTAACTGAGGAAACAGGCCCCGTCTCTGAGCCTCAGCTTCTTCATCTGTAAGGTGGAGATCATCAGAGCACCTACCTCAAAAGAAATGGCTGTGAAAAATAGGAAGCAATGGCTGTGAAAGCCTTTTATAGCATGTAAAGTGCTATGCAGACATGAAGAATTATCTTTCTTTCACTGCTGTGGCTTTTTTATTTCTCCCCCTAGTAATCTCCCTCCCACTACCCCTAGGGCTTTTCATTCTTGAACATGAAAGTGAAAATTGGTTTCAGGTGCTGAGTTCACAGTTGTTATGTAATACCAGCTGCCGTAGCATCCCTGTAGGCTTCCTTACATAGTGCCTGATTGTCACAGGGTCTTCAGAATTGGGATGGGCCTTGACATAAGGGATGCTGTCACTGCTGTCTGCCAGTCTTACTGCTCTGAACAAGAACCAGTGCTTTCTGTAGGTTAGAAGTAAACCAAAAAGCAGTGGATAAATGAAGAACTACAGAACTCTGTTCTAACAAAGTCAGTCAAAGCTATGTTGCTTTGGCCTAGTTTTCTGAATCACACATTGTAGTTACTGACACCAAATATTTTATTTAAGGTTTGCCTTTAGAATGTCCCATCAGAATGATTTGCAAGGCCATTTTAAAGAGATTCCCATGGGAACACGAGGTGTTATATTTATTTAGAGAAAACCACACTTCCCAAAATGAAAGTGTATAGACAGGAACACAAAGTAGAACCTGTCTTTGGCTTCTTTTCTCATCCTGTCCCCTACCACTAGAATCAGAATGCAAATTCATTGTCGTCTTTCTTTATGTTAAGTACTGGGGACACAGTGGTGACTGTGGTATGGGGTTCCCAGTCTGGTGCAGAGGCATAAGTATCACCTGATATTTAAAACCTCTGTTATCTATCCCATGGTCAGGATTCTCCTACCACATATTAATAGTTCCATGGAGATTTCTCTGGACGTTAGTCTATCATTGCAGTGTTAGTCTACCATGCTTCTGTCTCTAAAGCTATGCTTTTTTCCCCAACCATTTTTACACTTATCCTCTGAATTCCTATGACCTCTGCATATCTCAGCCTTTAGATAACTAGAGCTTAGCAATCAGTCACCTTTATTATTTTTTGGCCCAGCCTCTGTAAATTTTAGTCATTTCATTTTTTTTAAAGGAAATCACTTTTTCCTGAATAAAAAAAAAAATCATGAATCTGATTCCTCACATACCAAACCCCTGCCCTGATGTGGGAAGGTCCCCTGAACACTTTTGGAGCAGCCATGGGTAGGTTCCACTTAGAAGAAGCACCAATGCCTGTTCTCCGTGACTTTAGGAAGTGGCCTAGCAGTGCCATTCTGAGAGTGCGCCCTGCTTGAGGGGTGAGGTAAGACGTGACGTAGGCCTGGGGCCAGTTCTCACACTTGAAAAAGTAAGACACCCTCACTTCCCCCCACACCCCACCCCAGCTGTAATTCATAGCTTTACCCATATATCGTTTAATTTCCCAAAATCAGTTGTCATTATCAAAACTGTCTGTAATACTAACTCCTTTTATGACATTAACTCACCCGAGGCTGTGACTTCTGAAGGAGCAGCACATGGCTTTGAGAGACTGTGAACGTGTTTCAGGGGCTCTGAGGAGATAAAGCAATGAGACTCATTGCCCTTTGGTTTCAGGAAACAGTACCTCATATTATACTCCTCCTCTATAGAAAAGCATACAAAAAGCCCTTTTCAACAGCCCTGAACAATTTCCGCACCAAAAGATAGTTGGTCCTGGGCCTATGCAAATAAAAGAATAGAGCCTTCGGGGTTTGCAGCTGAATCAGACTCATCTCGTGCCTAGTTCATCAACTGGGCAAAATAGATGATTAAAAAACATAATTGCCTGAAACCAATTTACTTTTCATGGTTATGTGTTGACTTGAGGCTCATCGTGAATCAGAAGGCTTATAGCAAATGACACTGGAGGGGGCCGACCCTTATGCTACATTGTCTTCCTTACTTCTCTTTTCAAAGTTTCAAGGCTAGATTTAGCAGCAATTAGAACCAGTGATACAGGGTCCTCCTCAATTTTTTTATCTTCTTAATTGACCCAGCATTTTCTTGATGAATTAACAGAGTAAAATCCTCCGAGCCCTGTAGTGTGTGCTGCTGAAGTTTTTGTCTCGTAAATGAAACAAGCAGACATTTGCTTTTGAACGTTCTTCTTTGGGAAATAAAACGGAAGATGAAATAAAAGGTCCAGAAATTCTGGTAATGTAGCAGTAAACTATTGGAAGGCCCCTCTGCTTGAACTCAGTGGGTTCCTTTTAAGGAGGAATGCTGGGTATGAGGCCATAGTGCTGCGTTTCTCAGTGTCAGACGGAAGGCGGTCTCTTAGACGGCCAGCCTCCGGTTGTTCCTTAGACTTATGACCTTCGATCACCTGACACTGTAATACTGCTAAACAGCTTTATGGGGGTGAAGGGATTTGGGGAATAGTTCAGGGAGGGAGAGAGCAGGGAAATTAACCCTGAAGTGGGTCTGTTTCCTGGGTTGCAGAGCAGGACTTGTAGCTGTGGTTTGTGATTCGTTGTTAGTCCACCGTAATTTTCCTTTTTTCTCTTCTCAGGAGGACAAGAAGACTTCATTCTTTCTTATGAGCCTGTCACAAGACAGGAAAGTAAGTTTCCCAGCACTTTGGTTCCCCTGATTGACACCATTACAGAATAAAGAGTGAAGGACTAAGGAAAATAAACTCCTTAATAGTCAGCAGTTCCCAGGCCAGACCGTGCTCTCTCTTTGGCCCTGTGACCAAGCAAACAGCTTCCCTGCTGAATGTGGGCAATGACAGCTCCCAAGAGAATGGAACTGCCCTCCAGATGGGAAAGAGCACATCCAAATCATAAAGAGCCCCACCTGCAGGATCGATGCATAAAATCTCCATGCAGATTGACATCCACTCAGTATTAAGAAGGGCTTTTTAGCAGACCTGTCATAAGGTATAAGCTACCTTCTAGGCTGCTCCGAAGCCTGGGAGGAATTTATACAGAGGCTAATGGCATCAGAGGAGGAATTGTACCAAATGAACTTTAGAGTTCCTTGTAACCCCATGATTACAAAGGAATTGGGAAAATCCAAGCAGAGTATGGAGAGTATTTTGAGCTAAGGAAAAGAAATTATAAAAACGTAAGGTGTAGACTTCCCTGGTGGCGCAGTGGTTGAGAGTCGCCTGCCGATGCAGGGGACACCGGTTCGTGCCCTGGTCCAGGAAGATCCCACATGCTGCGGAGTGGCTGGGCCCGTGAGCCATGGCCGCTGAGCCTGCACGTCCGGAACCTGTGCTCCGCAACGGGAGAGGCCACAACAGTGAGAGGCCCACGTACCACAAAAAAAAAAACATAAGGTGTCATTACTGCAGATGATTACTTTTTAAAGTCATTGCCTAAACAGTGGTCAAATAGCTACTTTTTCTCCCATTCAATTGACTGAATTCAGTAGTTGTTTTGACATTGTGTAGGCATAACTGTAGAGTAAGCAAAACCTCTCTAAATGTTTCTTTTCATTGACAGACACTGCAGTTGTTTTTCCCTGCAGAAAGTAGACTCAGCCAACACACTGTGTATTAAACATTCCAGAAAGTATATAAATTCCAGAAAGTAGACTCAGCCAACACACTGAGTGTTAAACATCAATTTCCCTCTGCAGGGCTGTATGGGCAGTTTATCCACCGAAGTAATACCCTTACCAGTTCTTGGTGTTTGGCAGTTTTGCCTTAAGAGCACAGTGGTTTCCAGGTCTTTCTCCTTATCTGCATCTTCCTTTCCATTTCTGCAGTAAACTATACCCGGCCAGTGATTATCCTGGGCCCCATGAAGGATCGGATCAATGACGACTTGATATCTGAATTCCCTGACAAATTTGGCTCCTGTGTGCCTCGTAAGTATCTAAACAAAGCTTGTCTCCTTTTGAGATGATAAAATGTAATTCTGTTCCTCCAGTAGTCTCCCCAGTGATTCAGATACCATCAGTTACCTATTTTCCAGGCATCTCATTTAATTTTCCCCACCGAACACATTTCATCTATGCTGCCATGTGTTGTTCTCTATTTAGTGAGTAAATGATGTGGTCCCCTAGAGGGCAGGATGAATCCTTTCTTTGTATCTCCCATAGCATTTAAAATAGCATAGGTTTGTTTGTTTGTTTGTTTTAAAAAAAGGGACCTCCCTGGTGGTCCAGTGGTAATGAATCCGCCTTACAATGCAGGGGATGCGGGTTCCATCCCTGGTCAGGGAACTAAGATCCCACATGCTGCGGGGCAACTAAGCCTGCGTGCCTCAACTAGAGCCCGCATGCCACAAACTACAGAGCCCACGCACCCTGGAGCCTGCGTGCTACAACCAGAGAAGAGAAAAACCTGCAGGCCACAACTAGAGAGAAGCCCACGCACTACAGCAAAGAGCCCACGCACTGCAACGAAAGATCCCGCGTGCTGCAGCTAAGACCCGATGCAGCCAAAAATAAATTAATTAATTAAAAATATACTTTTAAATAAATAAAATAGCATAGGATTATTGATAGGCATCGGTATGTTCTCATTGATTGATGGAAATGCCACTGAAGCATCTTTTCCCATAGAATAACGTTACCGAAACAGGTTTGCTGAGATGCCGAGGTTTGCAACAAAGAAAGGGTTAATTCACGAGGCAGCCAAGTGAGGAGACTGGAGAACGAATCTCAGACTCTCAGACTCGCTGCCTCCTTGAAGGCGAGAAACGGGGTATTTGTGGGACGAAGGAGCAGGGCGGTCTGAGGTGTGGGCAACATGGGGAAGGGTGATTGGAAATAAGAAAAAGGTGAGGTAAATGTCATTCTGTGCAGGTGCAGGTAAGCTACAGGCTTCCTCATGGCAAGCATGTTCAGAAAATCGTGGCATTAGCATGTTCTGAGGGTGGAGTTTGGGACCTCCTGATGTCAGGTCACCAAGTGGACATTGGCACTTGCCCAGTTGGAGGGTCGGTGGTCTTAACCAGCTCAAGGTTGAACTGGACGCAGCTGACTCTGAGTTCCTGAAAAACAGCTCAGGCAAACACATCGTTTGGGTTGTGTGATGCTTGGAGGACCTGCACGTTTTTTTTGTAACAACAAAGTGAGCTCAATCAGTGAAGGCAGGTTACAGGTTTCATGGATCTAAATGATGATCACCTTCAGTTACAAGAAAAGAGATCAGAAACAAAGCCATCTATTAAAATCACCTCAGGATGACTTAGGGCCGTGTGTCATTCCAAAACAAAATAGCCTTTCCCAGGTGTTTCACAGCCTCAGGAGTTGGGAAGATGCAGACAAGAAAGATTATAAAATTTTAACCCACCCCCCTGGCCACTGCAAACTTTAATCTGCTTTCTTGTCATTATGGACAATCGTCAGGTCTCCTGGTCCCTCTGATACACTCAGGGCTACATGCCTGTAAGAGTCTATCTGCTCTCCCTCCTCCCATTCGCCACCCACCCACTCACCACTTCCATCTCTACTCCCACTGTGTCACATAAAAATACATAGAGGCCTTCTGTGTACATAGACAAACCCACCAGGGAATTTTAATTTATTAGATCATCGAGCTCTTAAATCTGATCTCAACAGATATTTCTTTCTCACTCTACAGTTTTTGAGCTTTATGCTCTGAAGTGTCTCTTACATTTCAAGACTGCAAATGTCTCCCGGAATACAGAAGAATAGCAAGAATTGCATGTGTGCAGTACATGGGCAGGAGGGAACTAGGATGACTGTGCTATCTCATGAAACTGTTCCCAGCAAGGATTCTGGGAAGAGACCTTGCCACAGAACATACCCTGAGAGAGACTCCAGATAGAAATGATCAGGTCAAACCCTAGGCCATTCGTCACAGCTCCCAGCTTGTTCCTCCACTTTTGAAAGAAAAAAAAAACCCTTTAACACCATTTTTACTTCCCCTCTACCTTGCATAGTCTTCTCTTTCTCTTTCTTTAATTAATAGCACTATTTTATGAAAATCAATACATGTTCATTGTACAAAACATGGAAAATGATAAAAAGTTAAAATAAAAATACAGAATCCCACAAGGTACCCAGAGGTAACATCACTGCTAATATTTTCATAGATTTCTACCTATTCTTTCTTTTCATGCATTTTCTCCCATGATTGGGCACATATTAGATATATATATATTTATTTTGCTTAATATCATTTAAAATTTTATAACTATTTAAAATGATTATTATATCATAATACTTTCTCACTTATGGGTATTTGGGGTTTTTTCTACTTTTCAGTATTATGAATTATAACTCAAATACAATTATAATTATGTTATAATTATTTAAATTTATAAATTAATGTAGTGAATATCTTCAAGGATAAAACTTCATCCAGAGTTTTGATAATTTTTTTTTTCAAAGTTTTGATAATTTTTAAAGATGGATTTCTAGGAAGAATATCTGGGTCAAAGATCAAAAATATTTTAACATTTTTTTAATGTTAAGGATAAATTATATTTAACCCAATATATCCAGAACAATACCATTTCAATTGTAATCAGTATAAAAATTATTGAGGTATTTCATAATTTTTGGTAGTAAGTCTCGGAAATCCAGTGTGTATTTTACACATATGGACCAGCCCCATTTTAAGTGCTCTTGAATGGGGCTGCTGGTGACCACACTGAGCAGTGCAGGTATAGAATGTATCTTACTCCCTCCTGTATTCTTTTTTTTTAATACAATTTTTAAAGATTACTTTCCATTTACAGTTATTACAAAATTATTGGCTATATTCCCAGTGTTGTACAATACATCCTTGAGCCTATCTTAAAACACCCAGTAGTTTGTACCTCCCACCCCCCTCACCCCTATATTGCCCCTCCCCCCCCATAACCACTAGTTTGTTCTTTATATCTGTGAGTCTGCTTCTTTTTTGTTACATTCACTAGTTTGTTGTATTTCTTAGATTTCACTTATATAAGTGATAACATGTGACATTTATCTTAACTTTTTTTTTATATGTTAAATTATTTTCCCTTCTCTTCTTACCAAAAAGTTTCTAACTATGGTTAGAGTTGATGACTTTTACTCCCTCCTTAACTGTGACCGTCTCATCTTACATCTTTTAAAATCCCCGAATATATTTATACTGCATGTCCATTTTTTAATATGAGACATTTTTTTACTTCTTTGCTTGTCCCATAATCTTTTATCATGTGCTAGATATAGTGATGCTACATTATTGGGCATCTGGATTTTGTTACCTTCCTTTATAGAATACTAAGTTTTTGTTCTGGCAGGTAATAATTTACTGACAAATCAGCTTCTTCCAGTTTTGACTTGGTTTTACGGTTTGTGAAGGTGGGTCTGGAGTAAGTCGAGAGTAACCTCATAACATGCGGCCCTTCTGGCGTCTCAACCAAATGCACAGTCTGGCTGACCTTCAGAGTCTCCTAGCACTACATGACCTCTAGACACTCTCCATTTGGAAATGAAAATGGAGTAAATGCGGAGTCCCTTCGTGTTGTTCTTAAGTATTACAGCCCAGCACTGCCTGTTGTCTGATGCCTGAAAATATATTTCCATATATTTTATCTAGTTTTATAGTCTTTACAGTGGGAGGCTAAGCCTGGGACCTGCTACTATGTCATGGTCCTTCATATTACATATTTTTATATGTCTATGTTGAGGGTGTAAAAATATATGTATAAAGGAAGTTTATGAGTATAAAGTTACCTTATTTTCATCTTTTTTGTTTTATAAAGATACTACGAGGCCAAAGCGTGACTACGAGGTGGATGGCAGAGACTATCACTTTGTCATTTCCAGAGAACAAATGGAGAAAGACATCCAAGAGCACAAGTTTATAGAAGCCGGCCAGTACAATGACAACTTGTATGGAACCAGTGTGCAGTCTGTGAGATTTGTAGCAGAAAGGGTATGTTCCCCAATCATCTTACGTTTCCGCTGAAGAAGCTTCCCAAGTGGCAAACTGCATTTTTTTTTTTTTTTGGTCATTACTCTTTCCTGATTTCAGTTGTAAATTTTGATTAAATATTCCTTTTAAGACCTCTAAGCAGAGAATCCCTTTAGAGCAAGATCATTAATCTTTATTCTAATCTCAATAAAGACTGACCTGGCGGGGAGAGGAGGAAAGGGAGCTTATAAACCTAAAGGCAGTTAACAGCTTGAAGTTTATGGAGATTCACTTTGTCCTTGACTCACTTATCTTTGGCCACAACATTGAATTTACTTTAAAAACTTTGTCACTCTTCGTTGTTTAGATCAGTGTCCTCAATTCTTGTTGTTAGCAGGAGTTAACTTTTTATCTCACTGAAAACTCAAGATCCTCACGGTAGAGGGGGAGATAGATGAGGGGGACTGCCTGGCCTGTTGCTGTCAGATATTTTAACTCAGAGGAGGTGTAGATGCTGTGATTCCCCTCCTGATAATTTCAAGGGCGTGGAAATGAGAAGAATGTTCAAGAGAGAATAGGATAGGAAAGCACTTCAGTGTACATTTAAGATCTACCTAAAGAAAGATCCTAATCTCCTATGAGCACAGAGAACCAATTTCATAGAAGAAAAAAAAGAGTTAAGAGGCAATCATATTTGTTGGATCGATTTGATTTGACACAACCTTCCCCCCCCCCCTTTTAAAGTATTGGTTAAAAAGATTAAACAAGAAATGTTCCTGTCTGTCTGAGAATACAGTAAGAAGGTGGGTCTGCTTTCTTCTCTCTGGAAAGTTGGCTTCTTTGAGCTATATCATACTGTTTCGAAGCAGCTTCCCGGATAATGGCATCTATTCTCATAGACACAACCTTTGTTATCTCGAACTGTTCTGGCCAGTGAATAAGCAAACTGCATTTAGACATTTTATATAACTGCTGCATTTCACAGATAGCAAACTTGGAATTTATTTAAGTGGTAAGTAAAGGCTTGAGCCATCTTAGTGTGTTTCTCCTATAAAAGCTCAAGTACTCACCGGGCTCTCTTCATTTTTACATGAATATTATGGATGAGTTTTCATCCCCTTTTATTGATTTAGGACTGTTTCTATTTGCATAGTATGCTTTTTCTCTTCTTTTGTAAAGCTCTTTAGCCTTGGGGTAATGAAGCCATTTCCCTCCAGGAGGCAGAATATGATGTGAGGCAAATGTGTCTGTTTTTCCAGAAATACTTTATAAAGCAGCTCCTTGCTCTGAGCACTCATTGCAGTGGAAAGCAAGTTAAATGAGGTGTGCTATAGTGTAATCGGGTTTTTATTTGTTAAGAAACAAGATATTTAGACACTATGCAAGCCTATCTCTTAGCATTTAAGATAAAATATTTAAGGTAACTCTTTGTGTCTGTCCTTGCTTTATACTAGACTGAGCATATCGAAGGCAGGATACATATAAACACTCAGCAAATGTTTATGGGATTGTTCTAAACTCACATTACCATTCTTCCAGATTTAACGTTGGTCAGGGTGAGACAATAAGGTATCTATTTATTTCAACCCATAAGACTTGGGTTTGAGACTTTGGGCAAGTTAGTATTTTTAAGCCTTAGTCTTTTCTTCTGTAAAATGCAGTTGATAATATGTACCTCATAGGTAGGGAATTTCTTCTTTGACAATTTGGGAATTTCCTTTTGACAGTTGTTTTCAGATATGGTTTATGAGCGTTTCATGAGGGTGGACTCAGTCATATTACATATGGCTACACAGCTTCCTTGTGCAAAGCATCAGGTATTTATTTAAGGAAATAAAGTTAACTGAGATAACACAAGTAAAATATCTATCCCAGTGACAGACGCTTAGTAAAGGAGTAAGAAATATAAATTATTGCAAACATTTGGTTATGACCCTGTATATCAACTTTTGTTTATGCTTTGCAGTGATTCTTTTTCAAAATTTGAAATCCAGTATCTTTTACCTCCCTCTAAAACATACTTACTTTATTTTTTTCCTTTTGGTTTGATTATGATCATTCTTCCTGGATTAACTCCATATTTTTCTTCTCTTTCTTCCAGGGCAAACACTGTATACTTGACGTATCAGGAAATGCTATCAAGCGGTTACAAGTTGCCCAGCTCTATCCCATTGCCATCTTCATTAAACCCAAGTCTCTGGAACCTCTGATGTAAGTGGAGGACAGCGGCGGCCTTCATCTAGCCCCCTGTTCTGTACGACAGAGCAAATTGTTAACAGCTCTTTGTCATAAATGCTTACAAATGGGAACTGCCATTGTTGATTTTTTTTTTTAAGAATTCCCTTTTTTAATGATAGGTGAAAGTTCTTTTGAACCACTAAAGACATAATGTCAATAATTCCTTAAAATATCTTCACTAATGTTTCTTGATTTTTGTTTTCATTTCACAAGTTGTTTTTGTGTGTGTGATATTTTCATTTTGTCATGCAGTTTTGAAGGTAGGTTGGTTTGGTTTGTTTTTGTTTTATCTTGCTTTGCTTTCCAAATGATAGGAAGCAATCATCTTTAAATTATCTCTTACTTTGGAGAGCAGTTCCACTAGTAAATTTTTTAAATGTGTGGGTTTTCATAGAGGGAGCAAACAATATTTTTAGACTCTTTCCATTGGCATTTCACGTTGTTATAGCATAGAATTCTCATGTTTCTTAATTAAAACCTCATGTTATGTAGACCGCTATCCTTAATAGGGCGTTTTCTTAGTGGCCTGGCAGTAAAACATCTACAAGCTTAACCAATAGCTCCAGACCTGTGTACATTTATAAACAAGGGGAAAATGCATGACTTGGATATTTTTGTTCTTTATATCTTTAATCGAATGTGTAAAATATCTTCCTGCAAAAATCAGTAAACAAAATGGGCAGATATTCATGATCTGGCTGTAAAGTAACAAATTTTTTGTGCCAATTTGATACAAATTGGTGGCATTATTTTGTAGACCACTCTCATACAAAAGTGACGCTGCAGTAGCCATAAAAGTAGCAGAGCAAAAAGGCTAAGAGCAGGGACTTGAAAATTAATCAGGCTAGGTTTGATTCTTTCCTTTGCCACTGTTCAGTTATGTGAGCTCAGGCAATTTGCTTAACATCTGTAAGATTTAGTTCCTCACCTCTAAACTAAGCACATTGATGATGCAGACCTCATAGAGCTAGTGTCAAGGTTAAACAGCATCTTGAATGTAGAGTTCTCCATATGGTCTTTGGCATATGATAAGCACTCACTAAATGGTAGCTATTATTACTATAAAAGATTTCAAGTAACCTTATTGTAAGAGGAATAAAACTATTTTATCACTACAAACCATGTAAACAGTGCCATTTCCAAGAGGCCACAAGAGATGACACCAGTGCGTCCATTGTAAGAGCTTTGCCCAAATATGCCTCCATTTGGGCCTCAAGACATTAGAGCATTTGGCAGGGTTCAAAAGTGAACCACAAAGTACTAGAAAACAGTGTTTATGGAAAGACCAAAGAAAATGAAATCATTCATCCCAGAGGAGAAAGCAGTTACTTGTAGAGGATATCGACCAATTATTCGGCACCTTCTCTAGAAGGAAGAAGTGACAGTAGCTGGAATTGCAGTCTAAGAGAATTAAGTTAAATACATAGTCGATCTCTAGGGAAATTGGCAGATATATCTTAAAAGCAGAATAGATTCCCATAAATAAAAGACGGACAAAGGTTCTTACCAGGATGAAAAAATAAAGTCAGGAGGTCACTCTTAGTACCTTCTGCCCCATGAATTTAGGTATTAAATTATATCATAAAGAGCTTAGCCCACAGCTAGCACTGTGGAAAAATATGTGTTGAAGATAAAATAATGGTTGTTGATAGTATTATCCCTAATGGTACATATTAAATTCCTCCTCATGTAAGCTATTGTGTTGGGCATTGAGCAAAGTGAATTAAGCAACTGCAGATTTCCTTGAGTAAAAGTGATTTATAATCCGAGAAGGGCCTCGTAAATATTATTAGTACTGCTAACATTAATAAGAAGAATAGAAATATGGCCCCCACCTCCTGGGAACAGCATCTTAAAGGCCCGTTTCAGAAATAGAAAAATACGTTTTCACGTCATAAACATGCAATGAGATAAGTGGCTTCCCTGGGAAGGGAGGCCTGAGGGAGAAACCGCAGCTGCACATTTGGTTCAGTGCAACACTGGGGGATGTTCCCATCTGGTGCTCAGTAGGAGAAGGTCTACTGCTTTCCACAACTATGAGATGCCTTGTTTAGTTTTGCCTTAGGGCCCTGTCACGGCCATGTATCATCAAGGATAATCAAACCTGCTGAAGGCCGGACTCCACGATGAGATAGTGACTCTGACATCATTTGCTGCAGCCATATGCGAAGTGCCGTAACGGTGACATTCAAACCAATGTGATCTTATTAGGAAATGCTAGATGCTTACTTTCTAGCTCACTCTTTTTCTGAGGGTTTTACTTCAGGAGCAAAGCTGGCATGAATTGCCCATTCCGCAGGGAGGGGTGAAGGCTAGGTCACCTGGAACAAAAGCATGGCAGCTGTCACATTTAGGCACTGATACATCATCACACACATTATTCTCAAGTGCATCATCCACATCAAACCACAGCACTTATTAGCACATACATAGCTGACTCTTCAGAGGAGCACAAAGTCAAGGGCGTGTATGAAAGAGGTGTTTTTTTACATTGTACCCGCCATGTGACTTCTATTCCCCACCCCCATCCCATGGCGATAAGAAGCTTTCCTGTGGCTCCCCACGCTTCCACCCCAATCTACTTTTACCTTCTTGCTCCCATGATGGCCTGTGTTTACTTCTGTCTTCAACTGTATCATAATTATGTTTGTCTAGCTCTCCAGTCATTCACTGTTTCATTTCTTCATTCACTTATTTATTCAATAAGTTAAGTGTTGACTCAGCTCCATGCCACATGCTAGTGAACAAGCCATGGTCTCCGCCCTCAAAGAACGAGCAGATTGGGCAGGGAGACAGAGCAAGTTCATGTATTAGAGGATAAAATCCTAAATTCAGTATTGCTACAATAAATGCAGAGGGAATTCAGAGAAGACAGACCAGTATGGGCCAGGGAAGTCAAAGAAGAACCAGAACTACATGATTTCTTGACATCTGGAGCAAAACACTTTCTTTCTGTGAGAAGATACCTTGGTTTAGCCCAGCATCTCCTGCCACCCAAGAGTGACAGCCACTCAAAGCTTCTAGGGCTAGGAAACTCCCACTTCTGTATATTGCAGCCATCGACATCGAGCCCAGAATTGTGTTAGCGTCAGACTTCAGTTTTGTTTAGTGTTTTTCTAAATAAGGGCCTCTTTTGAAAGAAAGTCTTGGTATACTGGAAAGCCTATTTCACTAAAAATTGGTTTCAAAAAAAAAAAAAACTTTGAGTTCTTACATCAAATTCACTCTTTTACCTTTTAGGCAAGTCCCTTTACTAGTTCTGACCTCAGTTACTTGCTCTGAAAAAGGAATTAACCTGAGACTACATGCTCAAGACCCAGATGTCTGGCATCCTAAAGTGACATGCTAAGGCAGCAATGCCTTCAGAATCCTACCTGTACCTGCGATGCCTCCCGATGGACCAACCAAACTGTCTTTGCTCTTAGCTGAACTTTTATCAGTGCAGTCACACTGGTATTCTTATGATGATCAGAGGCAATGATTGTCAGTCTTCGATTAAGAAAAGTGGGAAGATAAAATAATTCTTACTTAATAAGTACAGTTTGGTTGGCAAAAAACGTTAACACCTAGAGGACTTGAGAGGATAAAGCTGACACTGGTCGGGAATCAATAGATTAGGTTATTCTCCCTTTTCCTCCCTCCTCAGTTTGTCCTTGAGACTAGATTGGATTTAAATAATCTTACGATTGATTAAGCAGCACTAACATACAGTTAATGATACACCAGTGGTTGACAGACTAACAGAAGGAAGGACAGAGAATGCCCAGCGTAATTCCTTTACAGCCCGTTCTTCTATCCGAACAAAAATAAACAAAATAAGCATCGGAGATTCCTTCTTGCCAGGCTCCTCTCTCTGGCTCACTATTTGATATGACTTACTTAGAGTCTGTTTGAAAATATTTTGGTCCCAGCGCTTTTGATTGTTCCATTCTCTCTGTATCTTTAATTCAAGCCATCTTTAGCAGCTCCTTGAAATTCCACTGATTATAAAAACAGGAATTCAGGGCTCTTGTTGCTATAGGCATGCCTCACTGTTTGCAGAAGTTGAGCCGCGCAAGCTACAGGATGCTTTTTGGGCCTGAAAGATACACACGCCTGAGGGCCCTGTCACATTTTCTATAATTCGTTGGAAGCACTGTCCCTCTCTCCACTCCACATGTCTCCTGCCCACATTGAAGATGAACAGCAGCCCTTGGGGAGGATGGGAGAGTCGAGAGATCAAAGCTTTCTGCGACGTCAGGACCTGAGAACAGTCAAGTCTTGTTCTCTTAGACATAATGAGCTCTGAAAGGCTGTGATGTGTCTTCCCTTCTCTCCATCTCCTCTTCTCCCTCTGGCCACCCTGGAAGACTGCGTTGAATTCTACATCCCGTGTTTAAAAGAGGTTGAGGTAGATGAGAACAAAGTCTAAGGAAGGGTGGCCAGGAATGTTAGGATTTGGAAATTATATCCAATGAGAGAATAGATGAAGGAAGCAGGACAGTCTTTTCTGAAAGAGCGGAAGCCTCGAGGGACACATCAGCCCTTGACTTAAAGACCCAAGGGCCTGGCATGGAGGAAGGAAGTTCAGTCCTACTCTGCGGGGCTGCAGAGGACAGAACCAGTGACTGGAAATCATGACAGGACAGATCCTGCTTCAGCCCCATGTGGGACCAAGAGACTGCCCTCCGAGAGAGTGAGCCCCCTGGGAGGGAGTCTTTGTGGCTGAAAGTATTCCAGCAAAGAGGAATAGGAGGCTGCTGCTAAGATTACACTAGGCTTCCTGCAGGACTCATTTTCGCCATGCATTGTAGTTTTTCAGGATTTGGTATGTTCCCTTTGTGTTCTAATAGCAAACTCTCATTTTCCCAGGGAGATGAATAAGCGTTTAACAGAGGAACAAGCCAAGAAAACCTATGACCGTGCAATTAAGCTAGAACAAGAATTTGGAGAATATTTTACAGGTAAAACTTCATTTACATTTGTGCTGTGAGAAAGGAGATAAATTGTCTGACATTTGGCATAGAGAGGACTCTGGGCCTGGTGTACCTGGGCCCTAAGACCTTCCTGCTAAAAACCCCTCATTTCCTTCTACTTCCATTTGATCCAAAACTCTGGTTTCTTTCTTCTCTGGATTCAGCTTCCAGGTTCCCACTGCCCCTACCCGAAACCATGAGTGGCAGATGCCACTGAGCTATCTCCTGCTATTAAGGAGATTTTAAGCATTAATACCTCATTCAGCTTCTGTCCCTGAGATCATCAGAAAATTTGAAAAAGAAACTTTTAAGGCTGAAAATGTGTACCGTCCAAAGCAGATACTCTTGGGAAGCAAGCCCAGGGCCTCTGTCCTTTGCTTCAGGGACCTATGGGTCTGTCTCCCCATTAGCAGCACTTGAAGAAAATGTTGAAACACTTTCTGTGTTCCAATTAATTCCATGTCAAGTCTCAATGCAAAACTTTTTTTTTTCTTTTTAAATATTTCCTTGGAAACATGAATTTGGGGGGATATTTTGTCCTGGGTATCATGTCCTGTGTTCTTTATCCTTAACATGCTTTCATGAAACACTGATCAAATCCAAAGAGCAATCAAACTTTATGGAATTTGCCTTACCACTGATGGTTTAAAAACAAGAACTTTCCTCCTGAGTTACCTTGCGTGAAGTTCTGTGTTTTCTTTTTTCTCTCATTCAGAATATGAAAATGCCATGGGCTTAGCAGTTTGCAAATATGTTGAATTGGGTAAATCTTAAGTAAAATTTTGGTTAATAACAAAGATATGAGTTATGTTTCATCCTAAAAGAACATCCAAGATGTCCTTTTAAATCAAAACAATGTACATTTTGACCAGTGGTTCATATTCAGGAGTAAAATATCATAATCAATACATTCTGAGGATTGTTTTTGCAGATCTAAACCATGTTTCAGTCACAATTTATTTTTAAGCCCTAGTGTCATATGGATAGGACTGATGTGTTTGGAATATCTATCTACAAGGTAGCTGCTGTTCAAAGGAGATAATAAAATGTATTTAAATCTACTGTAAGTGACTTGGTGTTTTAGGTAATACACAGTTTGTTTGTTTCCTCCTATTTTTATGCTTTTTACAAGTAGTTGCCCATAAGGTATTCTCACTACAAACAGCCCTGTAAGGTAAAATTTCAATTTACCAGATTACTTGGAGAATGAATGGGGTTTTCTTTTAAAGGTTTTGGGGGTTGAGGAGATTAACTAAAGTTTCTTCTAAAATCTTTATCATTTCCTCTGTGTCTAAAATATTTGAATTTCTGCCCCTTACAAAATAAGTACAGTACGGAGTATATAAGTCTGGCTTTCTTTGATAACAGGGAGCTCTCAATCTGAAAATTGATCAGTGCCTAGCTCAGTGCCTGGCCCAGAGTACACACCCATAAAATTTAAATAAATGAATGATTCATTATGCAGAACTACAGAGTGACATGTAGAAAGTAGGAAGACCATGGTGCATTTAATACCAATCTAGGACATGCCTTGTAAGGATTTTTTTAAATCATTGTTGTGACTTTGCTTGAGTGAATTTCTGCTTTTTCTTACTAATAAAAAGTAATATTCAGCTTCCTGATGAGTTTGTCTGTCACTAGTTGAGCTTTTGCTGCGTGATTGATGGTGGTTCTTCACCAGCCAGCGAGTGATTCCTAACTCCAGTGTGTTTGCTTTTGTTCTAGCTATTGTCCAAGGTGACACCTTAGAAGATATCTATAACCAATGCAAGCTTGTTATTGAAGAGCAATCTGGGCCTTTCATCTGGATTCCCTCAAAGGAGAAGTTATAAATTAGCCACTGCACCTCCAACAATGACAGAAGAGCATTTAGAAGAACAAAATATATATAATACACTACTTGGAGGCTTTTATGTTTCTGTTGCATTTATGTTTTTGCAGTCAATGTGAATTCTTATGAATGTACAACACAAACTGTGTGAAGCCATGAAGGAGAAGGAGGGGCCAAAGGGCGGGACAGAAAAGACATTGCAGTACGCGGGAAGGCTTTGGTTTGCTCAGAGTGCCAGGGGTAGGGACGAACCTCTGACGGGCTTTGTGCCCAAGAGATGGGCAGCCTCCTCACCCAGCAGATGTCCAGAGCTGATTTAGCTGCTGAGCTCCCTGTGTTTTTTGCTTTAAAGAAAAGTTGCCAGCACTTGAACTTCACCAACCTTCCCATTACCCACATCTGTAATTGGTACACTTCGAATTTTATAACTATGCACCTCCTTTGATTTCTTAACAAGCAAAAGAAAGAACGAAGGAAAAAAAAGAAAGGAGTCCCTTTGGAGACGGCATAATATCAGGGAAGGATAAGTGTGTAGTTTCTTTTCCTGGCATCTGCAAAGACAAGCATTTCATAAAATTTGCGAGTGTGTGGAGGACTGACCTCACTGAGAGGAGGGGATTCCACCTGGGGTTAGCTTTATGATTGTTTATCGTCTATTTTGCCATTTATAAACTTAAAGAAGGCACTAAAGATGAGAATAATTTATATAATAAAAATATATTAAATGTATAGAAATGAATTTCTATAGGTTAAAGAAGTTTTGTGAAATATTTTGTAAAGATTAATTAATTGAAAGACTAAATGTATGCACTATCTGCAGATGATCCAATTCAAGAACAGAAAGCTGCACTCTCCCTTTTGTTGCCAATGATCCATTGAGAGCATCTGAGTTCCTTCTGAAGCCTGACAAAGACTTCTCCCTCACTTACCTCCCATGATCTCCCTTCCACATTAGTGATACACTCCCATGGAGCACATCCCTTAATGAGTTACCTTCATGAATATTTTTGGAGGACATTTGGTTACTGCATTTTTTTAAGCTGATGGCTTTCAGAGACAAACTCATGCAAATGATGTAAAGGGAAGTTTTTGCTTTTGCTTTTCTCTTGTTAAACAACCTGGGCCTGCCGTGCAAATAGTTGAATAATGTTGTTCCTAGTTAACTTACATTCAGTTCTTAAAGGATCATTTAGTATTTTGGCCATCATGAATAATTAGGACTTTTTTTTTTGTCTGTTTCACAAGTAACTGAGGGTTTTGTAATAGCCAGAGAAGGTATAGAGCCATGGAGAGATCTGCCCCAAAATGCACTATTTCTCTGAGGAAGAGAGAGAGAAGGGAAGCATCTGGTTGAGGGGGCGTGAGGGGTGCAGACTTTTGTTTCTGTGTACCGGACAAAGAGATAGAACCATCAGGAAAGACCATTAATGACTTTGAGCTCAACCAACTGAACTGCCTTTCTTGGGGGATGCACCTGGACCAGGTTTATTTTTCAGCAATTATAATAATGATGATTTACAAAAAGAAACCTCCCGAAGCCTATATCCCACTTTAGAGCCATTGGTGACATCAGCATTGCTTGTGCCCAGGGCGTTTAGAGAGAGACTTTTCAGTGATCTCAATAACTACTCAACTCTGGGTTGTATACATGCCCAAACTAAGCCCCATCGCCTTATCTCTGGGGTACATCAGACCTGGCAGGGATTCTGCCACACTGTGCAGCAAACCAGCATGCAGGCTGCGATGGGAGAGCAAGAGACAGCCATCAGCAGTGATGGGGCTTCTTCACAGTAAGAACATCAGAGCTCAGAATGAGGGTCTCTTTCCAAAAGCAAGCATTATTCATCTTACACTAAAATACCACTGTCTGCCTGGCTGCAGTCACCAAAACAAACACAAAAATGCAAAATCATGCATCTACCTATAGTCTTGAGGCTACCTTTACCAATGGAAGGGCTAGCAGTGCATTTTTCCCTCTGATGAAAGTTAAATTTCCCAAGACTTCCTTGGAGTGCTCAAAATGTCAAAAATGTGTCCATGTCTGCAATTCGCCAGTTTCAGGTCAAGGCCTGCTTTCATCAATCTTACTCCCAGAAGTTTTCTGCCACCAGAATGCCATTCCTGATCCCAGCTCTACTTTTAGGCCACCATGATAACTTCTTTGGTTTCTCAACTAAGCATGCAACCATTTATTTAAAGGACTGTCATTAATGAATAGATGTTTCCACGGGTCATGTGATGTGCTTTCCATTTAATATTAAGTATTGCTGTGGCTGAGTACAATCAAATTGAACCACCAACCCCTGGTTTTGTAGTAATATAATTATTTATTTTCCTAGTGTAGATGCTTCTGATTAGAATTGGCATTTGCACTGATTTTTTATGTAGATTTATATAAATATATATATACATATATATTTGCTTGAAGAATCACCAAGCCAATTGGTGAGAGGGTCTTTTCCTGTAGAATTTACACCTCCATTTGTTGTGTTGTCTTGCGCTTCCCAATGTTGAGGTCTCTACGGCTCCAGTGAACCAGTGTGTTTTGCAGCAAATCTGACGACTTGTGTGGAAATGGCATGAAAGTTACCCAGATTACAACTGGTGCAAATGCACTTGGAGCCTGGGGCCAGACTGGTGCTAACACTGCAAACTTTGTCGAGAGCTCTCTCCAATCTGAAGGCTTGCTGGGGGCGCAACGTCACCTTCACATGCTGGGCCCTTTCGGAAAAGTGCCAGATCGTCTCACTGGTGCTATTTTTCATGCTCTGGTACAATGTGTAGCACCACGGGGGTCTCAGCTTTACCAAAATCAAAATCCCATTTGTCAGCTAATTGCAGGGGCATTTGTTTTTTCGCTCTCCTCGCACAGGATTTGTTGGCCACTTCCTTGCAGGCTTTTTCTCCCAGCTCCAAGCTTTCGGGTTGGCTCTGTTGAGTGCGCCAATCTTTACGAAGCCTGCACTCAGGTGCCTGTGAGCTGTCTTAGATCCTACTGCCAGCCCTTCAGGACTCCGAGCCAGGGAAAAGCTCCCCACTCCTATGGCTCTTGCCTCTTTTTTCTCCTCATTCTTTCCCTCTGCTCTTCCCCTTCTAGTTCTGTCTCATTCCAGCTCTCTTTTGTGTACCTCTCCTTTTATCCTTCCTTCCCGTCTTCTCTGAGTTGTTGGCTTTCTCCTGCATTCCTTCCTTTCTCCCTCCCCTTTGATTCCTCAGTCTCTTTGTCTATCTCTCCTTTAGTCTCAGTCTCTCCCCTTCCTCTTCCTCTTTCTCCATCTTTCCTGTCCTTTCTCTTCTCACATCTCTCATCATCTCTCCCATAACCCACTCCTTAGTATTTCCGTCCTAAAAGGGCTCATGGCTGATTCAGACAGCAAGTCCATACACTGGACTAACGACACAAATTCTTTGGGTCACCGTCTCACCCAGGCAGCCCAGAAGGCGAAGCTGAGCCTGAATGAGGTCCTGCACTGGAGCCAGCTCCATCACACCTCACTGAGCCAGCCTGCACCGCTGCCCTGGCAGTGATGATGCACGTGCTCTGGGCCCTGCCGGCACCTGGGTGCCTCTGCCTGAAGTCTGGTCCAAGGTGAGCCCGCTCCCAGCACCATCCCACGGCTCTGAGGACACTTCCTTTCAATAAAGGCAGACTCTGGCCCCAACAATTATTCTGACACCAAACCTCTTCCTTCTCATGGAAGCCATGCCATCACCTTGGTTTGGAGAGAGACTTTTTCTCCATTCATAAGCTTTCTTTTTCCTATTTTCATGTGAAGCTCCCTCTGCTTTTCAGCTGGTGATTGCTCTGGTGAGATTGAATGGACTTGCTGGTGAAATTACATCTCTTTTTTCCTGTCTTGGTCCTGCCTAAATTCCTACAAAAATATTTAAGTCAAAGACTCAGGCTAGTTCCTAAGTTTATCATAGTAATCTGTCTCTCCTAAAGAGGACAAAAGGGGACATTTCCCTTAGAGTATGTGGAGTACCTCCCATGACAACTGATTTGAAAGAGGACTCCCTACAGAATTCTGTGGATATACATTTTACTTCTCTGTACGTATGGTATATGTGGTATGTCTATCATGTATACACATACTACATTGGGTACAAATGAATGTGGATGGAAACCCACACACACACTTTAGTCTGTAAATATCCTTCCTCACTGAAAACTGTGCTTCGGAAATCATTTCTTGTACAGCTGTGCAGTTTCTTGTAGCAGCTGAGGATAAACTCAGACAGGTGAATGATTTAGACAAAGATCATCTAAAAGATAGAATACAGAAGCTCCCTGGCAACTCAGGAGGACAGACAACCAAACGACAAGGTTGACTCCCAATGAGATGGCAAACTTTTCTTCTCTCCTTTTTGAATCTGTGTTTACTAAATGTGTCTTAACTTCTGAGTGCACCAGGCTGTATGCGTGAGATCCTTTTGATATGACAGTTTTGTGCTGCTCTCTGACAGGATGCTTCTCCATTGAGCTGTAGTGCCGGATGGGAGGGAGGGAAATATACTCCTTGCCTGGGCTGGAGTTTACAGAGACACTGCACAGCTTACACTCCTGTTAAGTGTAAATATTCGACACTTCCATTCCATTTGTGTAAAAAATAAAGCACACACGATTATAAAATCAAGATGTATATTTCATACTCAGTGTGTCTTTGCATATTTATTGCGTTTCCAGTTGTCAGCGGTGGCCCCATTGTAAAAATGCTTGATAGAGTGTTTATAAACATGTCATGGTTTTATTATATAAATATTAAAACATTTTATACTTTATAGCAAATTATTTTCTCCCAAAGCATAATTTGTCTTATTTCACGAAGAATAGAATCATTCATTTCTATTTTTATCAGACTTGTCTGATTTTAGAGCTAAAGTGTAGTTAGAGTAGATTTGCTCTGAGAAATATTGGCACTGCCTAGAGCAGCTGAAAATGCTGCTTTTGAATATTTTTAAATATTTGATTGCTGTCTTGCCTGCTTTTAATCAGGATTTTGCCAAGGGTGAACAAGGTAGTAAATGATAGGTTTTGGGGTTGTTTTTTTTTTTAATTTATTTAATTTATTTATTTTTGGCTCCGTTGGGTCTTCGTTGCTGCGCACTGGCTTTCTCTAGTTGCAGCGAGCGAGGGCTATTCTTCATTGCGGTGCTCGGGCTTCTCATTGCGGTGGCTTCCGTTGTGGAGCACGGGCTCTAGGCGTGCGGGCTCAGTAGCTGTGGTTCCTGGGCTCTAGAGCCCAGGCTCAGTAGCTGTGGTGCACGGGCTTAGTTGCTTCACGGCATGTGGGATCTTCCCGGACCAGGGATCGAACCCACGTCCCCTGCATTGGCAGGCAGATTCTTAACCACTGCACCACCAGGGAAGCCCAAATGATAGGTTTTTTTAAAGACCCTCACATCTACCTGAAAAAAAAAAAATCAATTCTCCAGTTTCAAAATTGTGAGATTCCAGAAGTTCCTAAGAATAGAGAGAAATCGTTTTTTCTTGTCTGATACTAATGATGCAAAGAAAGGCAAAAATGGGAAAGAAGGTGTCGATTTTCCATATGTACTGGGGCCAAAAAACATACCAGCTCCAAAGAGCTGAGCATACCAAACATGTCAGGCTTGAGAACCTGAATCTGCCAGATGATTCTTCCCTCCAGGTTAAACATATTCCTTGTCATGTAGACATTCGGACAGCACAGGTCTGACAGCTGGGGGGCCAAAACAAATTCCTCCCGTGGAAGGGTTGAAATTTCACCA